TCGATAATACTTCTCAGCACAAAGTCTTCTCATTCATGGATGGCTTCTCAGGCTATAATCAGATAAGGATGGCTCCCGAAGACATGGAGAAGACAACTTTCGACATGCAATGGGGAACCTTTGGCTACAAGGTCATTCCATTTGGACTGAAGAATGCAGGAGAAACATATCAAAGGGCTATGGTAGCTTTATTTCATGACATGATTCATCATGAGATAGAGGTAAATGTTGACGATATGATTTCCAGATCACAAACCAAAGAGGAACATCTCGATTTGATTTCATTCTCGTTGGCATCTAAAGTCAAGATTAAATAAGAAGAATTTATGTGAAATCAAGATCTGAAATGTTCGTTTGACATCAAGATCTCAATTTGCCTTTGGCCTTCCAGAGTCAAGAATCTCAAGATCTCGATATCTGATCTATTGGATCCAGGGGGAGTTTTACTCAAATGGTTTAGAGTCGGGATATTCGATCTTCATAAAATCATTGATTCAGGGGGGCATCATAAAAAGGATAAGTATTACTTACCTTTATATTTTCACTTCTTCTGATTATAAGAACAAAATTGTGTCATCAAAATACATAGTTTTGTCATCATCAAAAAGGGGAAGATTGTAAGAACAAGATTTGGTTCTGCAATATTATCTATGAGTTTTGATGATAACAAATGAGTATGTTTGTATGAACAATTTTGATACTCTAATGTTTGTTATTGTTGAGTACTTAATAAACAGGTTCTGCTTCTGATGGATGGCGTGGCCGAGACATTAGAAGAGAATTGATTATGCTTTTACACTACATAAGTTATGTTGAATAGTAGCAAGACACTTTAGAAGGCTTTAAATTTTAAGCTTTGATGTTGTTCTAAAGAAACCAGTCAGAAAATCTGAAGACTCAATTTTATATAAAGTCCAAATGCTAAAGACTCAAGCTTCTAAAGACAACATGTTCCAAAGAAACAAAGTTAGAAGATCTGAAGACAAAGTTTCTACTGAAGTCCAGATGCTGAAGGCTTGTGTTTTTAATAACAAGGTTCTAAAGATAAGGGTTATGAAGACTAAGTGTTGCAGACTCTAAAGGTAGAAGTTTTAAAAGATTCTAAAGACTTGAAGTTCTAAAGACCCAAAGTTTTAAGGAAAGGTTCACACAACCAAGTGGTGAAGACTCTAAAGATGCAGTTCTGAAGACTCTAAAGACTTGAAGTTCTGATAACCTGGTGTTATGTTCCTGCTTCTAAACTCATGCTCGCAGAAGCCTCTGAAGTGCAGAAGGAAAGAAGAAAACGTTAAAATGGTACAAATAGTACATGGTAAAATCAACATTTCATTCCACTACCATGAAAGGACACGTCGCACGATCTTGTCCCCCACATTACTGTTCAAGCTGCCAATGTTTCTGGAAATCCCAAGAGTATACCTCAATGGATATATTATTTCATTGGCTATATAAAAGCTTGAAAACTAAGAGAGAAAGTTGCCAATTCACTGAATAATTACACGCAAAGGCTATTCATAACTTTCACATTCTCAAGTCATTGTTCACAAAATAGGTTACACATTCAGCTTTTTAGGAGCAATACTCTTGTAAACAAAACTTGTATTCAAACAATTTTTTGATTGTCCTTAAGGGACCGGGTAGGTCTGTATTCTTAAGAAATCTAGAGCTTGCAAGTTTTAGAAGTTGTTAGTCACTTGCAGGTAGCTTGTGCATTATAATAATCAGGTTGATTATTGTTTGATATTCCTTAAGGGATCGGGTAGGTCTTAATCCTTAAGAAGTCTAGGGCTTGTGAGTCTTAGAGGATGTTAGTCACTTGCGGGTAGCTTGTGAAAATTGTAATCAGTTTGGTTATAGTGAATTAAGTCATTGATTGAGTGAGGCGGAATCACCTTGGTGGGTTGACTAGACAAGCTTGACAATTTTGAAGTAAACTAGTATAAACATAAATTATTCTTTACTTTCCATTCTTACTTATTGTTAATATCAAGAGTGAAGGAGAAATCATTTTAACTAAAAGGGGAATATTTTAAAAGCATAGTTTTGTTTTAAAAACCAAATTCAACCCCCCCCCCTCTTTCTTGTGTTTTTCACACCTTCATAGAGTGCCCATGAACATGTTAACCAATTCTTTTTCCACGAGTTGTGGTTGTACACGTGCTACCATTTCCCTCCACCTTTGAGCATACTCTTTGAAAGACTTATCCTTTTTTTTAGATAAGTTTTGGAGTTGCATACAGTTAAGATCCTTTTCCAAATTGTACTTTTATTGTCTCAAGAAAGCATTGGCAATATCTTCCCATGTTTGGATATGAATTCCCTCCAATTTCATGTACCAATCTAGGGATGCCCCACTGAAAATGTCTTGGAAGAATGGATCATCAGCTTATGTTCTTGAGCATAGGCATGCATTTTACTGCAATATATGCATAGATAGTTCCTCGAGAATGTAAGTCCTTTATATTTCCGAAAGTCAGGTACTTTGAATTTTGGAAGGATCACCACATTTGGAAATAGGCCCATTTCGAAAGCATCGATGTCAAAAGCATCAAAGCCCTCCACAACCTTTAACCTTTCTTCAAGAGCCTTATATTGATTGAGAGCCAAGGGATTCTCAATAGCCTTAGGTTGGTATGACTGAGTAGCACCTTCCAAATCAAGTTCTTCATACTGTAGATCTGCATAGTTGTCTGCATTGTTGACTGAAATTTGCAAACTATGGGATGCCCAGGTGAAACAACCGGCTGAAAGTCATCAAACAATGAAGTCACCATCAAACGTCTTTTATTACACATGAAGGGGAAGAAATTAGCACCCCACACACCTGTAGTACTCTACGGTATCCCCTCTTGTTGTTCTATCTTATGGGTGTGTTTGAACTATGCTTACTGTTTACTGTACTACTGAAGGGAGAATACATGCAAAAGAAAGGAGAAAAGAATGTACGGAAAATAAAATTGTACTCGCTTGGGCCCTACCCCAATGCCTACGTATCCTTTTTGAGTAATCAAAGCTACCGTAGTTTGGAAAACATGTTTTTGTTTGTTTTTTGTTTTTTATGGACAATGTTAATTTCTCCTTCTGCCGCAGCTCAATTTTTGGAGATTTACGAGTTGGCACAGAAGTAAATAAATCATGTCCTTATCTAAAAAGGGTTTTCTTAGAAAAGGTGCTTGGATGCACAAAAGGTTTTAGTTCGTTTTTATTTTGTTACCTTGAAAAATGGTTTAAGTGTGATTAGCATGTTTTATGATTTGCTAAGAAAAGGTTTTAGTTTTAGATGCAAGGATGTAAAAGGGGAAGAAAAGAGTCTAAAGGGAGACTAGCCTATTTTTAAACCTAATGTTATCATACAATGCTGGCCCTACGTCAAGGATGAAAGGGAAACGTCTACCTAATGTTAGCATGCATGGTTTACCACCTAAGGTCTAACTTCCATCCGAACGGAGCATGCACATCCTAAGGGAATATGGTATGTCCAAGGATAAATCAAACAAGCTTGAAGAAGCACACACATAAAAGAGTAAGGAAAAGAAGAGAAATGTTTTAGCCACGGGGAGCCTATCACCCGAGACAAACAAGTGGGAGTGAGATGTAAAACAAAAGTGTGATGTTCAATGCGACTGAACACCTAACCAAGATATAGGAGATTGAGGTAGGCGACAGAAGGCAATATGAACAATCACAGAGTATCAGCATCGGATAATGCGAACTCCTGTCAAAGCTTGGGGGTTTGATTGTGGAACCCTTACCCGCTTGACGACTCTATATATAATATTTGCATGACTCTGAAGTATCGACGTGCAACGTTAGCTAAGGATGACACAGACGAAGTTGTGGGGGTCGATTGCTAACCCTCCCTGCTCGCCTCCTTTTGAGGACTTAAATAAGGGATGGGGGAATAATGAGGGAACAAATATAAACACACCTGAAAATACCTACTCAATGGTTGGGTTTTAAACAAACCACACACAAGTAGCAAACAGAATGTACGCAATGCGGAATTGCCCTAAACGGGTCTTTAAATAAACCAGAGGGGTTCCTGACATGATCAGCAACAGATACCCCCATCATACATCTCTATTCCTACTTCTCATGGCATCAGAAAGCAATAAAATCCTACTTCTCATGATATTTAGAAAAGCAGTAAAGAAATGTAGTAAAGTGCGAAGAAGTACGAAGGTAGTAGTGACGACTACCAAAAGCGAGCAAATCATCAAGATCAGGTGAAAGCACTGGAGAAGGAAGAAGTATGCGTCGAGCAAGCATCACCAAGAAAAAAACAACGTCAGAAATAATATCCAACTAAGATAAAAGCAAACGCGTGTTACGAATGCAACGCGTAATTAGAAATTCCTGTGCAAAGTATCACAAGTATAGTATGTATCAGGATAACATATAATAAGATATGAATTTATCAAGAAGATGAGAAATAAGGCGTGTCGCATCGTAAGCGAGCATAAGCTGTATGCTTCGATAATATAACTACATGTTATGTTACATGATCGAAAGCACAAAAACGTACCTTGCACAATGAACAAATGTGTCAAAAATAACATGGCGAAGCGGCACGAAAATATGGATAAAACTAAAAAAGTATTTTTATTATTAGGTTTTTAGAAACTAAAAGGTAGCGTAATTTTATTATTAGTTTTTCATGCGAAGAAAAATTCCATCAAAAATTAAAGAATTAATTTCTAAAATTGACTAAAGAGTTCTAACAAGTTTTATTGACTTTTACAATTTTATCATAACAAAAATATAGAATAAAAGACATCCTAAAATAATTAGAAAGAGTCAGGGGGTGATGGCCTGAAACTGAAGCTATAATGCAATAAACTGCTCAAGGTGCAAGGCCCATTTCAAAAAGTCTGGAAACTGTGTTTGTATATCTTTATTTATATATAAAAAACGAATACAGGCCTTGGTGATTTGGCCCATGTCCGAAGTATTCCAACATGCATTTTGTTCAATTAATTACATTTGCCAAAAAAATCTTAATGGTCCCAAAGGAAGAGTGGCCTGGTCCAATAAGTTCACCTCTTCTCTAATTTCCAGCAGATTAATTTCATGATTAAAACAAGAATAATTTTTTTTGTGAAAAACAGTATATTCTGTTTGTGACGTTTCAGCTTTCACTCTCCTCCCTCAAAATGTTAGCGATTTCCTATCAAGAGATCTACCATGTCGGAGACCTAAACGCACTCCAATCTCCGTCAACCAATGCATCCCTGCCTCCTTCTCTCATTCTTTCGTTCTACTTCTCATAACCCTTCAGATACTCTCTAATTCTAATCTCAAAAGCGAAAACCTAGGTTTTTTAGAGTAGCGGTTAAACGGCAAGGATATATGGTCACAAGGAATTTATTTAGGGAAAAGGTTCCACAAGGTTCGAGCTTTGTTATTGCATCAAGAAAGAAGAGATAAAGACGACGAATTTGCAGAAACTTGAAGACCTACCTGCGGAGCCGAGGCTCACTTTGGTGGTTGTCGAGTATCTTGAAGATGAAAATTAATAGAGTAAACCAGAGAGGAGATTTTGGCTATAAGGTATGTGTTGATTCTGTGCGTGCTTCCTCTTCTACCTCCTTCGATTCTTTCTTCTTCTTCTCTTTGTTTGTGTTGTCGTTCTTTTTTTCGTTGATTAAATGTTATTGTTGTTGATTATGCGTTTCAACATTGTTACAATTATAGATGAGAGTGATGATGAACGCGGCGATGAACGTTGCAGATCTGTGATGAAGATGCGCGAGGAGGTGAAGATGGAAATTGCAGAAAAATGATGAAGATGATGATGAAGAAGGAGAGAGGATGATGTAGATTCCAAGAAGTTGCAATAGGTTATGGTGATGAAGACACTGAAAGGCTGAAGGTGAAGAAGATGGAGATGGTGATGCAAATTGTTGAAGGTTGAAGCAGAGGGATGACTAGAAAACCCTTTTGAGGTGAAATATTCTGCTATTTCTCTCAACTTTTTCTGAATCGTTTGTAGACTGTGAATCTCCTTTCTCATGATCTTATATTCCGAGCCCTCTTTTCTGTGATGAATTCTGAATTCTCCTTCCTATTACATTCTGTTATGTTTCTATTATAGTTTTGTTAGAGGCTGTTGGTTAAATGGGAGGGGAGTTAGAGAATTATGTTAGGGGTTTGTTACGGACTATTTTTTTGGTTATGACAGTAGGACAGTTAGTGAATTCGATTAGGAGAGTGAGAGTTATGGTTTTTTCTATTATGATTAGTTGGAAAGTTTGAATTACTGCTTAGTTGTTTATGGATATGTTATTCAGTTATTGTTTCTTGAGTTAACAATTTCTTCTTTCTGACTTAATTTTTCTTGTTATTCTGTTAGTTTGTTGTAGGAGCATCAGCGGGAACCAAATTATTCAATGGTTTGGAAGGTGCATCAACAGGATGCGAATTATTCAATGCTTTGCAAACTCAGGAAGTAGAATTCGCATTGATTTGACTCGGGGCCCTAGTTTATTACTGAATGCAGGGCTGTCCATTCTGACTGGTTTTCTGTATTGACTTGGAATGTTGTAGGATATTTTTGGTTAACTGTTTGACTTGAACAACTGTAGGACCATGTTTTGATGCGTTTGGCAGGTTTCGTGATGCTTATTGGCTTTGGACCGTTTGGTGTTATTTTACAGAACTGGCCTTGGTGTTTGTAGCATCTGCGAGTTAGCATGATAAAGGGTAAGCCTTGGTTGATCTGAAATTGGCTTTATGGACTGATTTTGCAGGGGTGCAGTTTGCTTGTGTACAAGTGTACTGAATTTTCTATGCAATGATTTGTTTAAACTGATATTATCATCTTTGGGAATGTCTTGGACAAGTTAAGGAAGGCAATATAAGGCATGTGGAGATTGTTTGGATCATGGGAATCTTGACTCGAAGATGAAGCAAGGAGATAGGATACATTTGTAGAAATTTTTGTAGGGACATCTTTGTAACAACAAAGACTTGAATTTGGGAATATAATTTTGTAATGACTTTGTGCATGTATCTCTTTATAATTTTCTCTTGGATGAACTTTTGTAAGGACCTTGAATAGATTTTGTGCTTGAATTTGAAAGTGATGTTGAATATGACTTGAAATGTTTTTGTGATGGAAACTTCGATTTGGAACTTATTTGAACATGTAAGGATTTTGGTAAAATATCCTTAAATTGTTAATAAACAAAACTTGAATCAAGTTTGAATTTTTTCCCCTCAATTCCTGTTTCATTCAAAATTTCAAACCTTCTCCCATTTGTATCTCATGCCATGCCATACTTAGATAAACCATGGTAAAAACCAAAAGTGACTAGAAATACTTTGGTCAAAAGTCCGCCTTCCGTGGTTGACTATGACTAAGAGTCAAGGCTTGCGCAAATGACTTCCATCTTAGAAAAGATTCCTAAAATACTCCATGTAAGACCTTAAATCCTTGCATAAGATCCAAAGTAAATGTCTTGAACCAATCTTTGAATTGACGATAAGAAAGTGAGAATGCGACCCTAATTTCTCTTATAGTACAATCCTCATGAAATGACTTTCAATCCATAATCCACATGAATTTTATGCCCAAATGCAACATCTTTGAAAGAAATCTATCAGAATGAGTTACACCATAAGTAATAGAGGAACCCCACCTACTATAATGAATAAAGCCCACGTATTGAAAGAAAGAAGCCCATGATGATTATAGAGCCAAGCCCTATCCATATTCAAAGAGGAAACCAACTAGATCAAGTTTGTAGAGTGTTGATCAGAAGCTTTAAACCATGTGGAAACCCTAACTCTTCAAGAGCCTTGATCCCATGACAAGTTATGACAAATGTTGCATGATGTGTTAGATGAGCTGATAAAGGTTATATACATGAGAAAAGTGCGAGATGCATAAGCGAGATAAAAGTGATAGGGTAGGTCAAATTTGGGGTATTACAGCTGCCCCTATTTAATCGTCATAAACCTGAAAGTAAGAATGACATGTGCCTTTCAGAAGTTCAAGGTAGAAGATGATTAAACACCAATGCCAAAAATTTGTTCTAAGAGAAAGTGTGAGTGTTTATATATTTTGTGATATCTTCTAGGGAAAGATTTTTTTGTGTTTCAGTTAAGAGATGGAGATTAGACTCGTAACGTGGTGTGACGCTAACACAAGACAAAGGTTGGTACCAAAAGACAGCGGATAAGGTCTACAGGTGACCTACGATCTTAAGGCGAAATGTGAGAGTGATCTGTCGGAGAACCTAGCCTACAGACGATCTCAGGTTCTAAGACCAGATTTAAGGGAAGAACCTAGCTAACGGGTAATCTCGAGTTCTAAGACGATCTGAGGAAGAACCTAGCCAATGGGTGATCTCAGGTTTGACGATGATTTATGGGAAGAACCTAGCGAAGAGGTGATCTCAGGTTTTAAGATGATCTGAGGAAGAACCTAGCCTACAGGTGATCTCAGGTTCTACGATGATCTGGGGAAGAACCTAGCCTACGGGCGATCTCAGGTTTGACGATGATCTGAGGAAGAACCTAGCCAACAGGCGATCTCAGGTTCTAAGAGGATCTGAGGGAGAACCTAGCCTACGGGCGATCTCAGGTTCTAAGACGATCCGAGGAAGAACCTATCCAAAGGGAGATCTCAGGTTCGACGATGATCTATGGAAGAACCTATCCAATCGACGATCTCAGGTTCTATGTCGATTTGAGGAGAAACCTAGCCTACGGGCGATCTCAGGTTCTAAGATGATCTGAGGAAGAACCTATCCAATAGGCGATCTTAGGTTCTAAGATGATCTGAGGAAGAACATAACCAACGGGCGATCTCAGGTTCTAAGATGATCTAAGGAAGAACCTAGACAACGAGCGATCTCAGGTTCGACGATGATCTGAGGAAGAACCAAGCCAACGGGAGATCTCAGGTTCTAAGACGATATGAGGAAGAACCTAGCCTACGAGAGATCTCAGGTTCTAAGATGATCTATTGGAAGAACCTAACCAAGAGGTGATCTCAGATTCTACGATGATATATGGGAAGAACCTAGCCAAGAGGCGATCTCAGGTTCTAAGATGATCTGAGGAAGAACCTAGCCTACGGGTCATCTCAGGTTCTAAAGCGAGACCTAAAGACGATTTTCTAGGGGATACCTACGGGCGGTCTATAATGAAATCTAGATCGATCTAAGATCCTAAGGTAAGACCTACGGTCGTTCTACAAAAACTAGGTTTATAGTCGACCTACAATTATAAGAAGGTGAGAGTATTGGTCACGACACGATGATGGAAGGTGTGAAAATGACCAAGTGCATTGAATTTATTGGGAATCGAGAAGGTGAAGAACACCAACTGTGGATTTTGGAAGTGATACCCTTTTGTGGGGATCGTTGTTGTCCTTGAATGATTCAAGTATTTCGTGTAAGGTACCTGATCTAGCTTATGCTTCGTATGCATGTTTGAATTTATTTTGCCGCAAAGATCCATTTTGATGGATCGGTTATGTGCTTTTGAGGATGCAATGTTATGCAATGATAACTATATGCAATGCAAAGAAATAGACTTCATGAGGATAAGCGAAGGCTCATTGGGAGCCGTTGTTCTTCACTAGGGATGCCAATATACATTAGCACTGGAAACCTGTGGTACCAAAGATTGCTGGGGATACTAGTAAGAATTTGAACTTGGTGTTTTGAAGATCGAAGATCATTGATGACTCCACTGGAGATTGAATTTATGACAAATTAAATTTTCAGGTACGCCACTGAATTTTGAATTGTGTTGTTTGGGAAGAGAAGATTTAGCCAGACTTCCATACATCCTGAACCATTGAGAGAATGGTAGAACTGAATATGCCAAAGAATGGATATTGAACACCATGTGAATCTCTTCGAACACATGCCTCAAGTTTATGCCACACTGGGTATTTACCTCTTGAATCACTTAGCGTTAGAAGATGGGCATGGACACTCGCGAATGCCCAGTTTAGATCTGCGGATGCCCCAGTTCAGCTCTATTGGGGATGCACTTGATTAACTCCACTAGGGATGCACTTGATTAACTCCACTTGGGATGCACTTGCACGTGCCAAGTCAAACGACGACTCCAAACTTTCTGAATTCACTTGGGGAATCGGGTTTAAAGTTGTCTCTAGTAGATGAAGGAGACTCCATGCAATGGCTAGGTCAGGGTGACCGTTATGATGCTTCTAGCTTGATCGTAGTCGTCTCGTACAACATAATTGGCTTGAACAACTTTGCGAGCACGGACACAGAATTCCCCTGTCTGTGGGATTTCCTGAAAGAATATGTGCTGAATAGAAGATCAGAATGTCCGTGCCACAATATGATATGAGGTGGCCTGCCCAAATCTTTTGAATCACGAAATAAACTCCTCTTGATTACAACTTTCCTGGAGAGATTTGTCGAATCTCGACGCAACTTCCCCAAGTTGAATGAATTCATAATAGATTTCAATGTGATAGCCCTTGATTGACGGCAACTTGAAGAGATTTATCAATGTGATAGCCTCTAATTGGTCGAGCTCGAAGAGATTTATCGACGTGATAGCCTTTGATTGAGTATAGCTTGAAGAGATTTATCGACGTGATAGCCTTTGATTGATAACTTGAATGAATTCCCTATATTTGGATGAACTTGGAGAGATCGAATCTCGACTTGATTGCCCCAGATTGGCAGAATCTGCTAACTTCATCCCTAAATGGTACTCAGACTGTGAAGCACCAGGATGTTTTCACTTGATAGAATCTCTGGGTAACGTTCCCCTGGATAAGTCATTTCTCTTCCGACAATTGACTCTTGCTTCAACAGGGTATTCAAGCCTCTCTTCTTTGACAAGATTGAGCTCTTTACCGACTGTTCATTGTGTAAACTTGCTTGATGTCAATCAGTTGTTTCGTATGCAGAAGAATGTTTATTATGAGAATGATAATTCTAATGCAACACATATGTAAAACTTGAAGTTTGAAAAACTTTCAGTGAAATGATGTCACAACTCTGTTGTGAATGAGTCACTAGCTAGAGAGCAACATTTTCAAATTCTTTTTTATGAAAGGTAATGTAAGCGTACGATACCAACAAAGATATTTAAAGATACCTCTTAGGAGTCAGTTAAACGCTATCTTGTTGTACCACGCTTATGAATTGACCCATGCATCAGTTACGACTTTGAAAGGGTTGTAATGTTGTTTGGTTCATTGTTTTAGAAAAAAGGATTTAAGGATCAAAATTATTTGGTTCCCAACCATTCTCCAGGATGTTCTCCATTCCTACGTTCAATTGACCCGATACAAGCGTTCATCTCTCAAGAAGAGTTTGTGATGGTTGAGGAACCATTGAGGCCTCTTGGACACAATAGTCACTAAGTTCTGATTTTGGTGTCTGATCACACAACCTTGTTCTTTCGATGAGGGTTTTTAACGGTGATTATTTTCTTGCCTTTTAGGCTTTTTAATTTCTTTCTTGCTTT